TTTTTTTTCTTCAAGAGATGGGGTCTTGCTCTGTTGCACAGGTTGAATTTTGAAGTCCAGTGGCACAATCATGGTTCAGTGTGGTCTCAATCTCCTCATCTTTCTGCCTCAGCCTCCCAAGTAGCTAGGACTAGACATATGACACCATGCCCAGCTTTTTTTTTTCTTAAGAGATGCAGTCTCACTATGTTGCCCAAGCTTGTCTTGAACTGCTGGCCTCAAGCAATCCTCCTGCTGCTTTGGCCTCCAAAGGCTAGGATTACAGGTGTGAGCCACCACGCCCGGCCACACTCCAGCAGTTTTGAACCCAGCCTGTTTCACGCTTCCAATCCTCTGAAATTCATTTTTTCAATACATGACTATTGTATTCTAGCACTGGGGACACAGAAGAAACAAACCAGAAAAGGTTCCTCACTCTAGTGGCATTTACATTCTAATGGAGTAAGACAATCAATCAAGAAAACAAGCAGATGGTGATGAGCACTCTGTAGAAAAAAGGAGTTGGAAGATGTGGTAAGGGGTGACTGGGAGGCTACTTCAAGTTGAGTGGTTAGGGAAAACCTCCCTGAGGAGATGCATCGACGTTGATCCCTGAATGACAAGGAGCCAGCCACAGAACGCTCAAAAGATCATTTCATTAGAGGGAAGACCTAGGGCAAAAGTCTTAAGGGAATAAATAAAATGAGCTTGGTTAGTTCAAAGAACAGAAAGAAGACCAATGTGAATGAAAGACGTTATCAAGGCATTTGAGGTCTGTCCCCTGCCTACTGTGACCTCTTCTCAGGCAGTACCACTGGGCATATGACAAGCCTATAGAGGCGAGCCATAAAAAGTCTTGTAAGCTAAGGTACAGATTTGGATTTTCTAAGAGCCACGGCAGACAGTGAGCCATCTGCTGGGTGATGTGAACTGTAAGGGTGTGGTGAGAGGCAAGAGTGGAAGGTATTGTTAGGAAGCTACCACAGCAGTCTAGAGGAAAGATGATGATGGTCTGGACTAGGCTGGTAATAGGAGGGATGGAAGAAAGTGGACTGATTTGAAATATATGTAGACTCTATAGGAATTACTAATGGATTAGATGTGGGAAACAAGGGAAAGAGGATTCAAGATTATCTTCTAAATTTTGGCTTGTGCAACTGGGCAGATGGCGATACCATTTACTGAGGTGGAATAACTAGATGAGAGGTGTATTTGAAGGATAAAACTAAGTTTTGTTTTGGGTATGTTAAGTTTGAAATACCTGTTTGACATAGAAGTAGAAAAAAGCATAGGCCTATATACATAGAAAAATATAGGTCTTTCCATATATACAGATTCATATTTATCTATTAATCAATCTACCTCAGGAGTTCCAAGGAAAAGTCAGAGCTAGAGATAGAAATTGCGAGAATCAGTATTACATACCCAGTATTGAAAGCCCTGAAGCATACATTCCTACTTTGTCCAACTGTTGAATTCCTGATCATCTTTTAAAACCTAGTTCAAACATCATCTCCCAAGAGGTCTTCCCTGATCACCCTGAGTTAATCCCTTTCTCCCCTTTATTATGTGGGTATTTTGTAGATACTTATATCTTTCCATATAAGACTGCACAGTAATTATTTGTTGGCACATAAAGGCAGGGACCTCATTCCATTCACTTTGGTGGTCACTTTTTTTTTTTAAGAGATAGGGGTCTCACTACATTGCCCAAGCTGGATTCAAACTCCTGGGCTCAAGTGATCCTCCCATCTCAGCCTCCTGAGTAGCTGGTACTATAGGCTTGTGCCACAAGCCCACTCACATTGATCTTTAACATTAACATTGCAAATTACGATGTGTCTGATAAAAGTAAACTCTCAATAAATGTCAATTAAATTGAACTAAATTCATCAAACTCAAAAAGTCAGAGGCAAAAGTTATACTGACAAAGACAAAATGCCACTAGATGAGAATTAAGACTTTCAACTTGGGAGAGAGGAGAACCATAAAAACAATCAAATCCTTTTTCTCCCTACATCTAAACTAATAAGTATACAGACACAGAAGGACAAAGTTCTCTTATTCATAGAAAAAAAAAAAAAATTGTCCATGATTGGGTTGAAGAACTAAAATATATT